ACACGATGTCTTTGGGTGAACAGACAAAATCATAAAACCCCATCCATCAAGGCTTTTGCAAGGGTCTTCCGAATACCCAGACGGTCCCTCCGAAACTACGTGCAAACGTGACTACAGAACAAGAATCCTTACTCACTAGTTCTGAACAAACAAAATCAGTCAACTGGGAATTTTATTAGTATTTGATTGAAGAACCATAAACTTCTATTTGAGGTGCATCCGAGCTCCGATACTTGGCCTACCACATATTCGGAGTGATGATACAATTAGTGTTTGTAAGAACGTTCCCCAAAGTTTGCTTACTTCATATTTACACGACAATATTTAGAACCACGTTCAAATACATAAAGATCCTGATAGAAAGAAAAAGCGTGCAGTACGTGTAAATTCTAACCTGATTTCATTTATGAAAAACACTCCAATCCTTTCCATTGTGCTATGATAAATAATGCCCTGACAAAGGCTAGGCACTTTAAATCCAGACACCAATCGCTAAACCATCATCAACATCTTCAGAAGTAAATATTGTACATGTACAATAGCTTGAGCTGTCACAATTTCGGTTACTGATAATCGGGATGAGATGACTGAGTAGTTTGAGCGCGAATTTACTGACCGCAAGGCCTGTGGTTTGAATACGACCTCTGCTGCCCGACTTCCCCCTTCTAGGTGTTGAATCGTGGGTGGCCATCTATTGGTTATGCCTGAAGTGAGCCTGCCAGAGTACGTCATAAGGAGAGGACAGAGCACCCGGGACACTGTTGTATTGTCAGAACAAACATACAGACCTCCTGAGTAAATAGATAGGATGACTAAAGGGCTAAATATAGTCGTTCACTTGTTCATCCCGTACAGCCATGATCAGCTTCATACCCACTCCGTTGGACACATGCTGCTAAGCTGCGTTTGGCAATCAAAGGTGTCCCTTCCAAATTTCTCTCCCTTATGAAGGCACTGTATGCGAACTCCCGTGGGCGTGTACGAGTTTACGGGAAGCTCTCGCCTCAGTTCACCACGTTCAGTGGTGTACTAACAAAGTTGTCCTCTTTCCGTTTTTTCTTTAACCTTGTTAATGATATGTTGCTTGAATTTCCTCTGCCTGTCTCTGAAACCTCGGGAGTCGAAATGCTCTCAGGACATTCCCTCACAGATTTTGAGTACTCAACGATATTACTCTTCTTGTTTCAGATCCTTCCCAAACAAAAATGATTTTCAGTAAACTAGATGACTGCCTCACGGTTTGACATGCGCTTCACACCTGCAAGGTATAAAGTGCTGCTACAAGACTGGGTGGAATCAAACACACACCTCATGCTTGCAGGTGAGCCAGTCGACGTGGTAGATAAACTTCTTGACCTGGAAAGCTGCATATGTTCCGGAAGACTGGCTGGAGATGAGATTATTTCTCGAATCTCATCTCGAAAATCAGGGTAGCTTTTGCCAACCTCCGGCGCTTATGGCGCCAACGTGACGTGAGCTTGTCCGTCAAGGTAAGAGTTTACACTGCGGTGGTGCGATCCATACTACTTTATTGATCAGAGGACATACGGTAGATGTCAGTATGTGATCATCGGTGTCTCCGCAGCATTGTTCAGGTCTGATGGAAATATCGGGTTAGTAATTTTGAGGTACACCAGATGGTCCTAGGAAGAAGGAACTCTCCCATGCTAGATGAATTACTCACGCTTCCCTGGTTGCGCTGGTTGGAACATGTACTCCACATGCCAGTAGACCGTCTGCCGCACAGCGCTCTTTTTTCCCAGCCCTGTGCTCAGTGGAAGCAACCGAGAGGTAAACAGTGTATGACCTGGCAACGAAGAATGAAGACGCTAACCAGTAAACTGAGTCGGGTGGGCAACTGGATGGCGAACCCGAGACTCAAATCACCAGTGGATAATGACATTGGCGAAAATGGTCGTGCAGTCAGTGACGCTCGTGCATTAAAGCCATTGTCTTCAATGCGTAGCCGATCAATTTCCGAACAAACTGAACATACCTTCGCCTCCAAGGCTTGGTTCTGTGTTCCACTTTCCCGTTTCCCGGAGATCGAGACTGTAGCACCTGGAACCAATGTGTCTATGGCACACGGTTTATAGCTCCGCCAACGCATCTGCCATCTCGTGCGTGTGGAACCGGTGATGACCCTGGGGACGCGTCGTTCTCTGTACATGTACTTTTCTCATGTCTGGGCGCGACCCGACACTAGGTTTGGGCAACCTGGCGGTATCCCATGCTTCATGCTTCACTTCTGATGCAAGAAAAGTAGTCACCGAAAGGGTGCTACAGCTGAACGCTGTTTATCGATGGTCTGGGAAGGTAAGGACGGATAACTGCACATTGAAGACAGTAGCTGATCCCATTGACTTCTGCATCCAGAAGTGACAGTGCACGTACGTAATACCAACTGAGTCAGTCAAGTAACGATGGTTTGCAAGAAGAGGATAGGCTTGGTGTGTTATGTGTTAGAAGGTGAAAGACATGTAAGGTGGACAAACGTCAGTGGATAAATTTGGCTTGCGGCTTCTCCTTAGATGTTTAACTGAGAGGATGTATTCAGCCCCTGAGCGTTGGGTTGGTGCTAGTTTCTTCAGAACGTACAACGAAATAAGGGCGAAGTGGACCGCGGAATAGAGAATTTTTAGAATTGTGTATGTGCGATCTTGGAAAAACGTCAAATAATCGGATTGAAAGCGGTTCAGGAAAACCGAAAATGCGGTAGTTGTAAATCTTTTACAAATGGATTTTTCAGCTTGTGCGATCTGCGCGAATTTACCGATCAGAAATTCTATGGTTCGAGGCCAATCTCCAGATCTCGATTGCTTCTCTTTAGGCTTAGGCAACCCGGCGGTATCTACGCCCTCGTGCTTCCTCCGGTGGCAGCTGCGCACCGAAAGGTTGCTACAGGTGAACGATTGTTTATCTTTCATTTATTACAAGAAAACTCAAATTTCTTATAGAATAGCACACTCACTAAGTAATTCAATAATGGTTTCCCTTGAACCCAGTTTGTTTAATGAACCATTTGCATTTTTTCCTAATCTCCACGTATAGCGGTGATGGAATATAGTCACCGGAATACGTCAGTGGCTATCAAGAATGGGAACCGGCTGTGTTCCAGTTAAAATGTTCAACTGTAAATTATGTCTCAAAATTGTTAAAGTTGCATTTCGAGTAGATGATTAAGCGGTTTGCCATAAACAATGATCGATATCGCACCTTTAAGCCTGGGGAGTTTCGTACTAGGAAGAATCACGCGTGAGGATACGTTCTCTGTGTTACATTACCCAACGTGACTGGACATGGAACATACATTCAGTTAAATTGTAAATGTCTGCAAAATGTTACAGTGATTGTGTTTCGCTATGCCACAAAAAATCTATGTTTTACATACAACGTCTCCAAAAATGTCGTTCGGAAAGAAGAACCAGATAATGACGTCGTACGTCCACGGTTTCATACATATGATTTTTAAGTAAGTGGACAATACTTCCAAGGAATTAAATAAAATGGCTTTTGCCTGTAGGAGTGAGGTTACCATGTGCTTCGTGAGACATAATCAACACTACCTAGAATACATCATAGAGTCTAATAGTTCTTCTAGATACTGGAGTTAGTTAGTAATAATTCCGTTAGAGACTTGAAGCCAATCTATGTTGAGAACATGAGAAGCGCTGAGCGGTCCCATTTGAATCATCAGCAAGCGTCTATGACACCTTGGGTGATTCGAACCCATGACTTATAAGTTAGTAGCTAAGTACTGACTGCCTGGTCAGCAGAACGACTAACTGGCATGTAAACAGGATATAGGTTCATCAGCCATCAACCATCCAGTCCATGTCACGTGAGTTTTTGTAGACTCGCTCAAAAAAGGGTAAACCTCACAATTCTTACTGCCTTTCTTCTGAGGTGGTAGTTAGAGAAATAAGCCGAGTAAAATAGAGCGCAGCTACAAAGAGGCGGGTTTGAAACGCCCTGGGGATTAACAAGGTGTGTACTGCTAACAATTGTACACAAGAATGTAAGGACCATGTAGCACTTTAAAGGTCCTCAACTTTGATAGCCTCTGCTCTCAAAACAAAAGATCTATATAAAGTCGGCTTCATTGAGCTTTGTTGGTTGGTTTGACTCCATGATTCGATTTTCGAGTTCGCGGTTACGTAAATCACTCCTGGAGATATGGGCGCAATCTCTTTCGCTGAAAAAAAGCTAGGATTCCAGAAGGATAAGCCAGTAAACGTGGACTGTGTGGACACAAGCGCTTTGTCATTACTATGTTTGAAATGGTGTCCAGGTATCTATAGCTTCCGAAGATTAACAGTAAGTTAATCGATGATAAACCAACTGGAAAACTGGAAAGTATCTTAGTGTACAAGCCGCACGACTTGAAGTTCATGACAAATGTTCTACCGATACTTTACCGAAAAGCAAAGCGGAGATAGGATTACTATGCACACCATCATCTGCATTTTCCAGGTTCTAGGTAGATATGTCTTGATTAGGTATACTTAATGGAGATATCTTCAGCAATGTGAGAAGTTTTTTTGGGACTGAAAAATGACATATATCCACACTCACGGTGCATCACTTTGTATGGGTCATCAGCGCAGAGAAAAGATTAGTTATCGATGCATATTTGTACACATCGTGATTTTCAAGGGCTGCGTTGAGATAACTTACTGTCTACAGACATCAACTTTTAAGTCCAAGAAATCAACCTACAGAAGGTAGAAGTACGTACAATTTCGCATTTTGGTAAGAGTGATCTGAGCTGACTAAAACAACCACTGCATTCGACCTTACGATTTATTCATCCCATCATATTATTGAGGGAAAAGTGATTTCTGATGCTTCACCGTTCATCCATTTCCTAGGTTGGCTACAAAAATCTCGTCAATTACGTAAGCCAAATGCTAGTTTAGATGGATCAACCTAGGACAGTCAGCTGGAAAGCGGGGCTTTTGCCTCGACTAGTTCAATGCCAGGCATCAAAATTAACTTACCTGAAACATGAAATTCATCAGCGCGTCCTTATTTTCGTTCCAGAGGCCCGGAAGTTCACTATTTGGAGGGAATTTCTTGCAACCCAACTCAATCGTAACTTCGAATGCGTTTGTGGCTAGATAGTTGTAGTCTTGCATACCTGAAAAAAGGAAATATTCACCTAAGTATGGCACACCCAACGAAAAGCCACGTATTTTCAACACACTAGAGTATAGTTCTATGAAACAAGGGTTAGGTGTCATGAAGAGTTAAACACGAAATTCATCGCCTTTTACTTTTTGTTGCAGAAACCATTTTGGGGTCCTGGGACTTTATAGATCTCCGAGAGAAACGGTTCCAAAATAGCTCTTTTCACAATTTGCGCAGAGCACTGGCCCCCTGTGGACTGGCAAATGTCAGTCAGACCTGCACTTATGTAAAGTATGATGTCAGCCGATGACCTCGTGTACTAAAGGGTCACAAGTCTGTTTTGGTGCTCTGTAGGTCACGGTGCTTGAACAAAAGTATAAAGTGTCAGCGCCAAACTACTCATTGAGTAACTGAATTCTTCTATAATGACGTCTTTCTGGAAACCTCAAGAGATGCGTTCTGCTAACAGTTGATTGTATTTCCTCGGTTCCCAAAATAATCTCACTCGCTCCACTGATTAGCTACAAAAGTTTAGCCCGCACTCACGCGTCTTTTCCAAGAGTTCATCTGTCGACAACAAGATTTAGTTTGCAATACATCCCTTCAAGATTCCCCAGAGGCCATTTTCGGAATAATCTTCAACAGTTACTTAAGGACGATATTGCTGTACATAAAAGGCCCTGGTAATTGGGTTACCAGATAATAGATAGCAACCCATTCGAAGTATATCATGACAAGCCAGGCCATATCATGTTGGGTGCGAAAATGCTGGAATACATTGGATACTGTCCATGTTAACGAAACCAATAAACATGTTTACTCAAATCCCACGTTTATCTTCTGATATGGCACACAAGACCTTCCTACCTACCTTCCGGGGAAATTTCCATCAATTTTTTAACTAGGAGTAAAGATTCGAGAAACTCCCCTATTTTTAGTCCGATTCGGGTTTAACGGAAGATTCACCTAAATTCTCAGCCTCAGCTGGGATGGAGTTCACTCACCAGTGAAAAACGAACTGTTATGCAAATTCGAGAAGCTCAGGAATTTCGTACAATTTGAGTTCAATTAGAAACTAAGATTGACAGAAACTCGGGAACTGCGCCTACCTGACGAGCCCCCAGAAGAGTGAAACCGGTCAGTGGGCTGCCGAAGAGTCTCCAGCAACTATGTGAGTAGTTTCCTTCGAAAGAAGAGCAAACATTCCATGCCTATTAGTTCACCGTTCCTGGACAACACCGGGAGACTTGGATTCGCGAATCTTACAGAACAGTCTAGGCACACACTTCAGATCAAAACATGGAATGGGGAGAAATATCACAACGTGACGTTTCGACCACGAACCCAGTGGCCATTTTGTTCCGCAAGGCTATGAAAAGACTGCATAAAACATGCAAAAAATGTACTCATGAACTTTTATACAACACCACGTTTTAGCTTCGACTTTCTCACACTTGAGGAATACTACTGTGTTCAAGTTCAGTTGCGTAGGGCGGGTTAACTGATTGTTAGATATTTTTGGTTATTTTCGTCATCAAAATGTTGTTATCCAAATTATGTCCATGCTTTACACACACAGAAACTAAGCTCAAAACACACCTACAGTGATGTGGGTGGCAAACGTGACATATCTACCCACGCAACGACCATATGTGCGTGGGTGTCTGCATCCCAAGGCAGCTTCCCTATTCCGGTCACTCGCTTCTCTCACCAAATAGTGGAAGGAATGAGAACTGACGATCAATAGGATGCAGGTATTGCGCTCAATAGGAAGCGTGACCTGAGAGAAAAGTTGTAGGGAGCGAAAGCCCTGCAGAAAGTCGTGTCCTTGTTGTTAAGGTCGTATTGTTTGAGGACGTGGAGTTAGCCGAAACGGAGAACTGCAGCAAACTAGTTGTTCACAGCATCACATGTCAAGATTTACTCGAAATCGAAAAGTATGCAGATAGTCGCGATCACATGACAGCACAACAAAGGGCTTGGGAATAAGCTTATTAATCTACCCTAACAAGGGACTAGTTTGTTTCACTTCCGCCCTGGTAGACTTGGCAAACTACAAAGAGTCGCTAATTGAACAAGTTTCAACATACACTGCGCTGAAATGCAAATCTTCTGCACGTGTCTGCCATCAGAAGATGAAAACAACACACCAGGTTGTGTTCTCATATCAGATACTGCTGGAAGTTTCCTCATTGATAGACATAACAACTCAGGCCATGTTGTGATCTGACGCATAAGTCGGCTGCCAAATCGCTTGTAGCACAGTTCGTTCTGTAGAACCGCCGTCCAGAAGCAACTTAGCGATAAATAGCTATCTTCAGCGTCTGTCACTATGATCATGGACGGTTCTGAGAAACGTCTTAGTCCCTTCCCAGCATTCTCAATAACTCTTTCATAGGAATGAAATCCTAAAGGTTGAAAATCTCTAACTGAGTATGTTCTGAGAATGCTAGCACTGCACGACATGACAAACAGAACTTTATAGCTCAACGTTCTGAGTGTGGTAGTGTCACATGGATCTCTTAATTCGGGTGGGCATGGACGACGTAGCTGTAAATTTCCGTGCTCACAAGAATGAAGTATTCTTTTACGTTCACCACACTCTGTGGTGTGTGAATCATGTTTATCAGATTATTCTTCTGGTTAGCTTGAGAGAACCGTGCCTCAAAGCATCTGGTCCATCATCGGGAGAAGATCCTGAGTTTGGAAACGCCCGCCCAAGTCATTTAGTTCGGTCAAGTCATCTCGAGAGCGAGGTGATTGTCCTCAGAAGACCATTCTGATCTGATTGTAACAAACTCCCTACACAATTCGTCGCAGGAGGATCTTGTTATTATGAAAACGTCCATTTAAATTTGTCACAGCAAGCTGACATAATTGAAGTTGGATAAGCACACCTTAAAAGTTCGCTAACTTGCATAAGCGGACATCGTGACCTGTCCACACTCCCCTTTGCCTGATTGGAACCCCTCAACCCCCAGCTTAATGGTACTGGGTATATTTATCTGCCTGTAGTGATGTTGAAAACCTCATGCGGTTACGCGTTGTTCTATGCTGATGCGATCTGATGAAACTTGTAACTTCAACAGCTCTCCTATTCGGAACCACGATGACCCTGTATGTACCTTTTATTGGTAAATGTTGCGCGTGATCAGAATGCATCCATCTGCGCAACGACGATATCTCCTGGTATGTTGATGAAACGTTTGCAAACCATTTGCCAAACTAGATAAACAGACCAACCGCCACCTGATCAGTAGTCAACAACCTAGCTTCACTTTTTCCTGGGCTGAATGACCCGCGACATTATAGATTCCCCTGGTCATTGGTCATATCCACATGGACACGGCTCAGTGTTAAACCACTGATCTTGCTCCCAATAACCGTTCTGCTGATTTGTGTGATCCCTGGAGTTTGAAAACAATATTGCCATGCTTCCAAAACGCCGATCTTCATACATTGTTCTGAGAAGCGAGCGATAATGTGATTAAACACAGGTCCAATCTGTGTTATCTCCCAAAATGTATAGATAAAGCTTAGAAGGACAATAGGGCTTGGATACGAACCTTGTGTCAAAAGTATATTGAGTTCATCAGGAATGCTGGAGAGCTAACTGTCGAATGTGGCAAATTCTAACCAAGTGTTACGCCAGCGAAGCATCAGTATTTGTGATGTCGATGGAGATGATGAAGAAGAAGCAAACTTAAATGCTAAAGACCTCAAATGCCATACTACCGGTTCTTCTTCCATAAGAGAAATCCTCCGTAGATTCGTAAGACGAAACGTGCGACAGTGAAACACTTTCTAGACCCCAGGGTCGATGCTTTCCACTCTTCTTCACTCAGTTCACGGTCAACGAACAGCTAGCAGTGACTGCCAGTAGGACTCTTCTGTTCCTCTTTGTTGTGCAAGAAATATGATAGTGTTCTGTCTTAGTGTTTTCGCTGTGAGAATGACCCACTTTAGATGGACTAGACCATCGAATTCTATCAATGTACAAACTCAACAACATCTACGCATAGTGGTTTACTTACTGCCATTGATAGGATACCACTGAGCTCCGTTCACGATACCACGATCGAAGTCTATATCCCCATCATCACACAGGACCTCACCCGATCGCATTTTTGGTGATCGATCCGCATAGGAACGTGCGAGGTCACTGAGTAACATCATGGTCAGCGGATAAGAGAAGATGAAGGGTTGTTAAATGACAGTTAACAGATGACATTCATGCAAAAGGAACAAGTCACAGTAAAAACCTAAGTCAGCAAATACCACAGACGGTGGAACAAGTCTCCTAGTGCTATTGGAGCTCACATGAGCGGTCGTCTTTCCTGTGTTATTGGCATCCAGGCGATAAACGATCTGTGACATTTCGTGACCTCACAGTAGCAAATGATCTGAGTAGACCAAAGATTTCTACCACTTTAGGGTGTCCATGATATGCAACCAGTTTTTCGGAACATAGCGCGAAATACCCTCGAATTAGCACTTGTCTGCCCATACTGCTCAATATCTAGTTTTGACCACGAAGTTTGACCAAGCTACTGATTCAATAGTGTAAAGTAAGCGTACCACGTAGATAGCTGTCTGACTGGAACTCAATGTGATCTGCAGAGCAGAACCTAAACGGATTATTCGTGTGGCCTAGTGAAGTGACTCCTGTCAGGTGGCCTGGGAAACGAAACCAACCAAACAAGCCAATCGAGGCTGTTGGCTAACAGTCGCGGATTTATTCAACAATTCGTGGACACCAAATGTTTAGTCGGTTCGGTGACTGACAATCACAGAATTGTCTGGCATGGTGCGAGATAGTAAAAGTGATGTAAACACAACCTTATTGTGTTATTTGAGAGGATGCAGGGCAGTCTATCCACTTGAACTGCCAAACGCGTTTGTTCGGGCCTTTGGCTTAGAAGCCCAACCGCAAAGCAGCCGTGTTTGGCAGCCTACATTTTCAAGGAGCAGATAGTCCTAGCCTGGAGGTGTTATTCTGATCTCCAACCATTGATCAACCTGCTCATTAACGGCTCAGCCCTGGTTGAGGATTGTCGGGAAAGCACTGCCTTAGGTTGCAACCTTTCACTCATAGAAAATGATCACGCACCGCGGCACTTTATAAATTTGTGCTCAATAAAGCATATGAAAATTGAGTCAGCTTTGGGAACCACGTCAGATTGATGTGCCTTCAACAAAACGGAGTCTCCATCAACCTTCCCTTATTACATAATAGCAAAAATAATACCACTGATGTTAATGGCGGAGTATCAAGTCAATCTCACGGTTATAATGATCGCGATCTGAATGTGTTGCAAAATGACCGGGTTTATGATTCATGTGGCACGATTTTTGAGGTACCGAGGCATGTTTCCCGATACAACACTGTGTACGAATTCGATGACAATCCACTGCCCGTTTCACTTTTCTTGAGCCCATCGGGTGGGCGTAGTCCACAAGTTTTTTCCAGCTGGAAAGCTGAGTGTTCGCAAGCGAAGCTGTAAACTCAATTGCAAATTGATTTTGGGTTAACTTGTTGCTAAAGTGAAAAATGAAACCCGCGACAAAGGAATAAGTGTGAACCTTCCGCTAGATGTGCAGTGGTAGAAACACGAAGAGATTGTTGGAGTTCGCATCTCTTCAAGTTTGAGGAGACATAGTTCTGTTGAATCCAATCCAGTTTGAACGTCTTTCTTTCTGACGAAACAAGAATACTGGTACGAGGACCGAAGGCTCGTTCAAGTGCTTGACGCAGAGTGCAATTCTAAAGCGTCTTTATAGATTCTCTATAGATTCGCCTGTCTTCCAACATCGTTTCACGTCTTGTTTTTCAATGTTTTGAAATAGAGACTCTAAACTATTTATCTGATTATAATTCAAATTGTATGGTAATTGACCAGGTGGCTTTTGATCTGTTCGCCGAGCTTGGCAGTTTGGTTTGCAAACGTTTCGTCACCATTCGAGGAGGCATCTTCAGTGCGCTGTTTTTTAAGCTTAAATTTAAATTGTAGTTTGGGGCAGGATGTAGTGTCGTTCAGAAAGCGCTACGAAAATCTTCCGGCGTTTTTTTTTAAAAAAAAACATTCAAGGCACAAATATTCCCATTTTTAAATTAGTCGGCAAGCGGGAATTTCCGAAAGGTAATTCACATCCTAACATTTTGTCTGTTATTTTTATTCCTTGTCCAGAACTTTTGAGTGCATGCTACTGACCACAGTCGAGAGGAACAAAATATCTTTTATTCTTTACAACTGACGGATATTGTTCTGGCACACCTTTTATTAGGCTTTGCTAAATCTTTCACCTCGGTGTCCTTTTTCAAAAAAAGAAAGACCAACTTTTTACTAGGATAGAAAAATAACTTGGCAACTGCAAAAACCTTCTCAATTCCCGCGAAAATCAGTGGTTTCTTACACAAAAATCGCATGATCAGGTGTCCGCTGAATTTCCGTTTTTCCATCCGACGAGCTATCGTAAGGAAAGTTGACAACAAGGGCTCCGCCGTGCAGGTTGGCGGATAGAACAAAATTGATTTGACTGAGCCAGTGCATAATCATAGAGGTTTCTCTTTCAAACTGAAAAGTAGAAAAAAAGGTCGATGGGCTTAAATGAATGACCTCTCACCATATTCATTAATTACAGACTGTATGATGCTCTGAACGGTCTGTTTCAGCTTCATCCTAAAAAATATGCACTAAGTATGATTTAAAAAGCTTTGACTGTCCTAGAGATTCCAAAAAAGAAATCCTAACTAATTCGGACGTTCCCAGAAGTACTCCTGTGGCATTTGTATGACCAAGCTTGAAAAAGATCTGTAGGACCGAGTCATTCTGCGAAGGAGTGAATGAAAAGCCATTTCTTAGAACCCCAAACGAGACAGGATGGTCGCAGTTCGTTACCAGTTGCCACAAGGTGTTTATGACATTATCCTTTCTCTTATCAGAAAACCCTAAATGAGAAAGCATTCCAAGTAGAACTAGCTGCAACCCAACGGCAAAAAACACACGATGGAAATGTTGAAGGCAGCCCAGTTATCATCTGGCAATCCACTGGGTCACCGCGGATCATTTGCATACGTGCAAAGCGACAGTACCTTTGTCAAATTCAGCTATTTGCTGTCCAAACGAGTCTACCTTTCTGATTATATTTTTATTTTGGCTGCCTATTCTAACAGGGTTGTTACGTGTTGGTCACAGAGCTATTATGATGATGCAACGTTTTTAGTGTGTGGGGTGAATCAGCAAGGTTGGTAATGCATTCAAGACTTTCCAAACCATGCTGTTGGGGAATGCATTTGACCTGCACTGGTGGCACGAAGGTACAAAATGGTCTGCATCCGTGAAACCTCACTACCATAAGCTTCAACATAGTTGAATATGTACTTATCCTATGTAGTACAGATTCGTTCGCACAGAAATATCGCTCTCCAGCAGGATTGTCATCTTGGTGTTCTTGAACATAAGACTATGTGAATTGGATGTCTAGCGCTGTGAGCACCGCTGAACCCTTCTTCTCAAAAGTCAATGAAAGCTGGTGAAATGTCTATGTACAATATAAGAATAGTCGTTAGTATCACGTCGAGAACACAGCCCAAAAACGGCGGTTTTGCAGTGCCTTAAATTCAAAACTTCGGATTCCACAAAACACAATCATAGGGTTAGATATGACATGTTAAAATCAATTGCTACTTGAAACCGAATCAAAACGTTCAGTCGCTTCGTGCACGTGTACAAATCCCAGAGGATTGTTTAGTATGGTGGCATAACTTCTGAAGCCTCACATTCGGATGTGAGCTTTATCAGTTCCAACATCTACCGGCTAATCAAATGCATAATAAGGAACAGTTAGTTTGCACAGACAGTTCTGCATCTTTGCGTCTAGTTGTTCTAGCCGTAAGAACCAGCTTTAATGCGTGACCGTAAAGCAAACTAGATTCAATCATCAACGCACAGACCTCGGATAGGTCGAATGTATGTATCTCTAGACAATTTTTGTGTGATGAGAGAACATACGACAAACAACACGTCACCCTGAATCAGTTAGATTCTCTAGCACTAGACTAGGACTCAGGCAATAGCGCTGACCCTTCCGGTTTGTACTGCGGACAGTCGGTGTCAGAGTGATCTAGAATAAATGAACACAGACCTTGTTTTTAACCCAAGACAGGTTTAACACGTTGAAAAAATCGATTGACTGCTAAGTACTTTATTGATCCAGTGCTTATTTCAAAGGCCACGAATTGTTTACATAGGTCTCACCTGTGATCTGGCACATGGTACCGGTAAACAATCGTCTTTCCGAAGGTGAAGATGGAGGTAACTTTTGGAGTTGCAAACAGCGTAAACACACAAGCATATGTTCAAACCGATCCAGTTGAATCACAGGTGGTAATTTTTAAAGTATATAAATTTTAGAACAAAAACAGATGTCTTACCGTACTGCTAACTATCCGTTTCGGATAGCCAAACAAAAATGAATTGTAGTCTGTTCTGATGTACTCCAACCTAGGCTATGCGTCCGCCTTGACAAAACGTGCTCTCTTCTCGGAATGACTAAATCGTACCGTAGGCTAGTGTTCTTAGACAACTAGATTTGTGGAAAAAAATTTAAACTTATGGAAGCCCAAGAGACTGAAACGGCTATGCATTCTATTCAAACTCTCTCCACTGGTCACCCTCAACCGGGTGAACTAGGATATTGCATCAAGTGGGCACGGCTGTGAACAGCACTCAGCCAGACCATAACCAAGCCACATCTGACGTCTGAATTCCAGATTCAGACACCTTGTCACTAAAAGATTCACCCCTTTAGTAATCAGGGCCTGGGGTTGTTCAGGAAGTAAGCTCCCACTTTAGAAGCGAAAGTGGACATCGCTCACAGAGTGCAAGGTGTCAAAGCTTTCTGTCCACAGGGACCATCCATCGCAACACAATACAATACAGCCTTTACTGTAGCCAGATACATACCACCGATGGAACCAGGTGATATGTCTTCGTAACGCTGCGAGGGGCGCAACTTCAAGATTCGTGCACTAACCATATCAGGCATACTTTTGTCAAATATGATACAACTAGTAAGTTATGTGGAAGTCCACAATCTCCAGTGTTTCTTCTTGAATAGCAAAATATATGTTCGAAGACTGTATGTCATGAACCAGGGCTCCACAATTCGTTGGTACAAGGCACACGCTCAAAGGCTGAATAATGTTGATCAGTTAACTTAACCGATCTCTGCTTTGTTTTCTTCAAACAATGGGACAATGTGGTCTGTGTGATTTTGTTATTAACATAAGCGACTTGGACACCGGGGTTCGAAGACAGCCCAGTGTTTGTCTAAGTATTTCGTTGAAATTAGCGAAGTAGATGCTCGCATCAATATACACAATTTTTTTAGAAAAAAAGCATCTAGAGAGATCCTTTGGCATGTCCAGATTTAAAAAGATATGGAGATGGGCTTAAGTTTATGAAACTTTGTTGTGTCTTCTGTTGAACAAGCACGGTTTGAAGCCCAAATTGAGTGATAAAATTGAACGCACACCTGAAATCGAGTGAATTCGAATTTGCGGGTCGTCTTTACATGTCGCTGCCCCAGCATTTGGTGGGGAGGTTAAGATATAGTTAATTTGGCGGCCGTGTGGCCATAATCGCGCTTGACATTCATGAATTAGTTTCATTTCTCGTCTTAGGAAAATTACCGATCAATCATTGACCGCAATTAAGACCGGAATTCTTCGCAAGATTGACCTGGCAATATCTCCGTAGGCAATATAGAAAAGAAAGTCCAGTGCTATCAAGAACAACATTCCTACCCAATTCCGTGACCCAGTACGTTTTTATCTTTTGTGTAAACCCAATAATACAATGAGTAAATGACTAACCTGACTACCAATTAATGGACCATCGTAAAGGTGATCGATTGGTTTATCTTGATCCTTCATATTGCGGAAAACCACTTTATCCAAATCAGGGAAATTTCGATTGAGATCCACACCGTTCCCGTTTAGCCGTCCAACCATCCCTTCCTGCAATTCGGTTAGAATGGAAGTATACTATAATGCGAGATAATGACCCAACCTTGTCCGGTGCTTTCACGCTGATATCATATCCATCTGGATTCATTGTGGGAAGGATGTGAATACGTGTATTGTTCACCAGCCAGCGTACTGCCCAGTTTCCATCTTGATACTTTTCACACAGATAAAATGCGAGGCGTAACAACAGCTCCCTGCCCACCGGCTCGTTTCCATGCATATTAGCAATATACTTGAATTCGGGGATACCTGAAAATAGGTGAATTTTTTGTTTCCTACTTTACCTGGCCTGTGAGTTCCCGGTTGGTTTGTAAACTCAATCACAGTTAAAACATTCCCGCCAATTGTTTTGGTTGACTCACTCGAACTTAGCTGATAAACGCGTGTTATTTGGGGACACTGTTTATGAACGGATTCCAAAATGTCATTCAGTTCACTATTGGAGTGATAACGATCCCATTGAAACTCCTGCTGCTGGTGAAACTGATTCTGCAGTTGCGGTTGATCTTCTTGCTCCTGACGTCCGTGCACAAGTGCGGTAAAAATCAAGATGAAAAACCACAGGATTTGAGAAGAATAGTTCCACATTCTGCCACTTTGGTGCCCAGGCTGGGTTGGTATATCACAGAGCACACAAGGGGCTCAGTTGGGAATCATTTAAAATGCTGTGGAGGGAAACGCAATAAATTAACGGTTGTCATATTACAAATCATATGACTAGAACCAGGGGTTATAGATAAGGTAAACAGAAAAACAGCGAAATCAGATGGAAGAACAAAGAAGGTCGCACACGCTTGGCTGATTATCAACAACGACCAAATTCCCTTTACTCTTTCAATACCTAAACAAACCTTAGATTGGCGAAACACACTCATTTGTAAACTAATTTGGTTTTGCGAGAGACACACCCGGAACCCAGCTAAGTCTCTCGGTTTTGATGCTTCCAAGCAACGGAAACTCGGAGACTGCACCTACCTGATGAGCCCCAAGAGGGGCGAAACCAGTCGTGGGCTGTCAAGGAGTTTTTAGCAACCTTATGAGTAGTGCAGTACAAAAATCTTAGATTGTTTCCTAGGTTTAGGTTTAAAATGAGAGGTGAACACACCATTGAATACAACCTTAAAACAGTGCCTGAGAGATAGAACGAACCAAGATAGCACTGTCCAAAACCATATGTACTGTAACACATAAAGAATTGGCACTAAAAGCACAATCACTTGCTTGCTGAAAAACGTACTCACTACGAATGTGCCAGCTTCCAATGAAAAAAGCATCAAAGCTTGAATGTAATGGGAGAAAATAGTGAGAACGCAACTATTCCTGTCATACAAGGCCATCAAGACAATAGAATTGTGGTTGCTGACGTTCGTCAGAGATATTCCGGTCCATGAAGTGCTGTTTGATATCCAGCATTAATCGCGTTTTATTTTGTCCTTCGAACGTACATGAAATCTGCGGTGTCGTAGAATGTTGGCGCTTAGTAAGTATGTTGGAAACAAGGAGTACTGAACTGGGTGCAGTTTCATCGTCCTGTTCACTGGTCAGCTTTCAGAATTTGAATAACAAAGTTGAGCAATTTCTCACTTTCAATTTCAACTTTGATGCAGAGAGTACCGGGTTCGAAAAACTACAGCGGGTTCTCCCTACAAAAGAGGCTCACAGAGTTGTCGCGTAAAAAACACAACTTGATTAGTAGCCGGTAGCATTAATAGCGAAAAAATTCAGGTAAACAGGGTAGCATTACGAAAAAATTCAGGTCAACAGAACTGTCACTTCAGCGACTGAATCTGAGAGCTCATGGTGTCATGAAAAACTTGAAGGGTGGGTCAGCACAACAAACAAACTTCGACTAACCAAACGCCCACACCGACTCCACCTTGCATCCCATATATTTGTCAGATTTCCGTCCTGTGATAAACAAGACCTAAAGTCGTTATTGCCAACTACCAGTAGTTATACCACTGTTCAGGAAAAAGCCAAATTGCCTTCACAAGATGCACTCGTTTGCATAATTACTTAGTCATAACGGGAGACCCACCTGGAACCCAGCTTAATCTGTCATCAAAAACTTGAAGATTGGGTCAGCACAAACAAACTTCGACTAACCAAACGCTCACACCGACTCCATCTTGCATGCCATATATTTGTCAGATTTCTATCCTGTGATAAACAAGACCTAAAGCCGTTATTGCCAGCCACCAGTAGTTATACCACTGTTCAGGAAAAAGCCAAATTGCCTTCACAAGATGCACTCGTTTGCATAATTACTTAGTCATAACGGGAGACCCACCTGGAACCCAGCTTAATCTCGCTTTTACGATGTTTTCAACCAACTGAAGTTACTGCATCAGACAGCGTCATGTTTTAGTTGGTATGATATTCGAAATATCGTGATACATTTCATAGGCGTAGTACACTGCTCATAAGGTGATTGAGAACATTTCGACAGCCCGTGACCTGTTTAGCCCTTCTTAGGGCTCACTAAGCGGGCACAGTCCCCATTAATCTTATGTTCTACTTGAACCCAAATTGCACGAAATATAACTTATACACTCATGTGCACACCAGTTTGGTTTTGACGAGAGACTCGCTTGAAACCCAGCTAAATAGCACAAACGAGAGATTCAGATGGGTTCTGTCTAAGTCTCCCATGAAATCCCAGCTGGTATGCAAATGAGCGAACTTCGGCAATTTTGTGCAATTTGGATTCAAGTAGAACATAGGATTGACGGGGACTGTGCCTACCTGGTGAGTCCTAAGTAGGGCTAAACCGATCATGGGCTATCGAAATGTTTTCAACAGCCTTGTGAGTAATTCATTACATCTATATATATTACCATAATTTTGTTACACTATTGTTGCCTATTTTGTTTTATGCAAGTAACTCGAACCTCATTTACTCACTTATTTTGGTCACATCCACTGATGTTATACTCGACATTTTCTATCCTCAGGCGGGGCACGTGAATCCCCAAGGGAGTGTGCTTTCAGAACCCGCGCGATTCTTTCCGAGCGTCAACTTTGGGGGAAAAAGCGACGCATCCGTCATTCAACTGCTAGAACTTATACACCTAACGGCAGCGATGCATCAGTGTCGAACACTGATATTACGCTCTCGATGATAGTGATGCCCAACAAATCTGTTCCCAATGCCCACTGCTCTGTGGCAAATCCTCCGCAAGCATTCTGTCGCGTGGAGATAGCTTTTTTCTGAAACCTCATATGATAGCCAGCTAAGCTCAGGTGAAGAAAAATGGCTCTTAACAAGGAATGCACAACCGAAAATGCCTTGCACCCGGCCCCATGTGAGACCATCTTGAGACTGTGGAATAAAACGTAACCAAAATGGGGGAGTAAGATAAAGGAATTAGTCTTAAATCAGTCAGCAGGTTTTATTTATTGTCCAGGAGGCGTAGCAAAACAGCTGGAACAGCTGGTCGAAAAACTTTCCGTTGTTGTTGGCCTTTCCATCAGTGATTGCCTTCATGTACCCTTGAGGCGGTGTTGCGTAACACAGAAATGCTTGACCATACACGCGGACATGCTTTCTTCATGTTTTTATCCACAATATGAATTCTCCGCTCTCTCAGTGGAGCTAACTCGTAAGGATTCCGGCCTCTGACCACCTCGAGAGTATTTCCGATTACAGTGTTCACCGATTTTAATCGGTTAGTATCCGTAAGCTGCTCGCTCAGACTTTTCAACATATTGAGTTGGATATAAACTGTCTTTTACCTGTCCCAGTTACTCAAAAATTCCTCGTTCTCGTGCACACACAATACACAGTCTTTCCTCAGCTGCTATTTGCATTTTCGTCTACAGCCAAAGACCACAAATATTTGTAGCCACCTTTTCTCCAAAAAAGACCTCTACTGGTTTCTTTTCTGAAACTGGTTCTGAATGAAATTCATAACTCACTCGCAAGGTTTTCGCTACCAATCTCAACTATTTTGGTACATACACAGGAGCTTTTCCTTGTGGCCTGCATGCTTTCTATAACCATAGTTCAGCATGCCTTCAAACTATTAATGAGAAGGAGTGAGTTTGACTTCATTTAATCAAGAGTTTTTTCGAACACAGGCTGAACAGTGTCGGCGCCACCACTACTGAATTACAGGTATTCTAGATTCGCCTCGTTCACTCCAACACAGAAGAAGAAGGTCCAAACCTATTTTAAAATGCAGTTAAGAAACTTTTTCATAGAAGAAACCAGAAAGAACAGTGTAATCGAAAAACCTGAACACCCAACTGAAATTTGTGCATTCAAGATCTGTTCCTGTCATCGGCCCTCTAGCCCACGCTTCTCTAGTCAGCAGCACGTTGTCTGATCAACCAGTGATGTCGGGGAATCATAACAGCATTAACCTTTGTGTAGATGGTGGTTGTTCACCCATATCTCCATGGTTTTTGCAGCAGCCCGACCAGACTCATCAATTAATAGTTTCTTGCGCTTTCCTTGGCACCTCCACGGTAAAAAGGTACTACTACGGCTTGCCTCGTGCCCGGAGTACTAGATTTGTCTCCATTAGACGGTTACATGGATTTAAAGGCGATACGTATGTTATCTAAGCTATATTTTGGAGTATTATTGGTTTCTTATAACCGCTAATTAACGCAACAATAATACACCTTTGCACATACAAATCAAAACAGCCAGTTGTTCACTGTCAGTCTGTCACCAACAGAAATCTCGGACCCAGGTTACACCATATATGGGCCAGTTGGAGACCCCCGACGACGATCAACCCATCGACATTCATAAAAATAGGCCATTCGTCATAACGTCACTTATGTAACAGTGTACTCTCTTGGGTTCTGTTCTAGCCCGTACAGTCGGTTTGGCTCAATCTATCTTCGGTGTCCACTTTAGTGATTATGATGCTATATTTTGAGTATTATTGGTTTCTTATAACCGCTAATTAACGCAACAATAATACACCTTTGCACATACAAATCAAAACAGCCAGTTGTTCACTGTCAGTCTGTCACCAACAGAAATCTCGGACCCAGGTTACACCATATATGGGCCAGTTGGAGACCCCCGACGACGATCAACCCATCGACATTCATAAAAATAGGCCATTCGTCATAACGTCACTTATGTAACAGTGTACTCTCTTGGGTTCTGTTCTAGCCCGTACAGTCGGTTTGGCTCAATCTATCTTCGGTGTCCACTTTAGTGATTATGATGAGGAAGATGATCATTTGTTAAGCTTAATTTCCACCATCCGTCGCTTTTGTTTGATACGTGTCTAAGCCTCCCAAATTATCAGCTTTTGTTCTTACGAGTACAAGAAGTTGCTGAAGTGCTCCCACTTGTGCCATAAAAAATCAGGATCCTATTGCTAACTGAGTACCAGTGTATAATCTTTCAAGTCTCAGTGACTCTTCATTAGTGCTGGCGGAAAACAAGGTGTACACCATACTTCTTTACGGGTTGAAAGCACATTTCGAACGCATGAGAATACTCATTCACGAGAATAAGTCAAAAATTCCGATTGGATTAAGTCTGGTTC